ACTGGAACATGGATCCTCTGGGAGGCTAGCTGAGAGGTGCACGTACATCTTCTCCCAATATCGGGTCTGTACTTATTAAAGAGTGTGACAACCTCTGGTCTCCGTGAGAAGGAAAAGAAGGCATCAGCACGAATCAGTGTCACATCCGTGCCTCTATTACATGCCCAGATTGAACTCAGCAGTGAACTATTCCTGCCAGCCTTGAACTTTAGAGGGTTTTAAATCACTGGTGTAGAGTGATTCAGAGACAGACAGAAAGGCAGGGACCTGAGAGATGGTTTCAAAGAGGACAAGATCAAAGCGTGTGCATCAGCAGGGTGGAGACAGACTGTGGCAGGCTAGTGTGGGGTAGATTCACACCCCAGCTTACCACAAACTCAGTGTTTGTGTAGAAAAGCCCTAAGGGTTGGTCGACCCACAGCAGCCATGCAGACTAAGGGAGTGTGATTTCTAAAGCACACTAACATGCTGCGTATTACCTGGTCCATGCAGACCCTGCTGGTGTGCACTAAAGGTTCCCTAGTGCACTTTAACACAGTGCTTTTGGAAACAGTCCTGTGTTAAAGTGCACCAGGGAACAAACACACTAAACGCTAAACCAGGGGCTCGGCAACCAGGGTACAAAGCTTAAACTAACATGTAAGGAAGTTTTATAAGCAAAACAGAAATTAAAGTAGATCCTATTTAGACAAGACTTTGGAGAAATATCTGGAAAAAAACACCCTTCTCATTACAGTATCAGAGAGTCCCCAAAACTCCATTTTGGACATAGAATTCATGCAGTGCTAAAAATATCCCACCCTCTCCAAGCGAAATTAATAGACCAGGAAAGCCAAAAGCCCTAGTTACGCAGTTAGGGTCAATGAACAGCTGTTAGAGGTTTCTTGCTGCCATCTACTGGCCGCAGGTGCACACTACATCCCACATTTTGATACCCTTTTGTCTTATTACCCAGAGCTATCCCTGGTGTTTCTCACCAGCCCAAAGCTCTTAGGCAGGAGAAGAGGAAAGAAGCTGGTCTTGGAAGCCGTAGATATTGGAGTGTCCACACATAGCCCATCCCCATCACCCCAATTCCCCCTTTTCTGCATCACTCCCCCTCCTCTCCGCAACACCCCCAACTCCTCCTCCTTTGCCCCCTCCATCTCCCATTCCCCCTTCCCTCCCCATCAGCCCCTTCACCCCATTACCTCCCCCCCAAATTCTACTCCCCACTCTCCTCCTCCCCTTCCCCTTCCCCCGATCTCGCGAGAGCCCAGCACTGGCTCTGCCCTGTGCCCGCCCACTGTCATGGCGACTCCCTGAAGCCGACCAGCCCCAGGCCGGCGTGGAGTTGTCTGTGAAGCCCGGAGCAAGCGAGCGGCCGAGGCGAGATGCATTCGGACGATGTGAGTCCGTGGTGGGGTTGGTTCGGCTGCGTCCGCCGGCTCCAGGCAGCTGCGTCCTAGCCAATCAGCGCCCCTAAGGCAGGGTTGGTTCTGTTGCGTCCGGCCGCGCTTCCCTTCCCTTTACCCACGTGGAAATCGGAGGGGTGCAGAGCATGTGGGGGGCAGGCGCTGAGTGGCCGGGAGGGGAGGTCACAGGCACGCGGGCTGGTTGCAGCTCAGCCAGGCGGCACTAGGGGGTGGTTGTCTCAGTCACCCCAAAACTGGGGCTCCCTAAAGAGTCTGGGTCCCAGCCCTCTTCTGTGTAACCTACGGATCCACCGGCTCCCATGGGGCGCGGGCCATGCTGGAGCAGGGGAATGTGCCACCCTGCCCAGTGGTACAGGGGGCTGCTTGCCCTAGACGGGGAAAGCAGACCCAGATCTCCCATGTGGCAGCTCAGCACATGGAGTGGGGCAGCACCTGGGTGCCTCTTTACTCCCACCCCCTGCTTCCTTTCCTCTGGGGTGGGAGAAAGGTGTGGTGATGTGCAACCAGGTCTCCTGAAAGAATATACAGGACCCCTACTAATAGAGTCTCCTCTCTAAGGCTTGGAAATTGGATTTCCTGCATGGTAGGTAACCATAGGGTCACCCCCAGGACTGTCTTGGGTCAGGACAGGAGCCCGACAAGAGCCAGTGAAGTGCCTGTGCTCTGGTTTGCAGGTTTGTCCAAGCAGCTGTGGCTTCATCTGTGATGCTCATGTGCTGGCAGATGGCTGCTGCTTTGGCATATAATGCAGCGAGTTGCATTGCGTGTGTGTGTGTGTGTGTGTGTGTGTGTGTGTGTTTAAATACTGTGTGGGATTATCACTGTACTCAACACTATTATAATTATAACCATAGCGCTTGGAATGCCTCAAGGCTTTACAGACTGCATAGGAGACATGGTCTCTATTCTAAAGAGGTTTGGGTTAAAATGAAAACATGTGAGACACCCACAATGGATGGGATAGTACATTACAGAAAGTTCATATGCTGGTTTAGAGAACCATGCGTCCATTTTAGTGGGTTTTAATATTTTGTTTGGGTTTTTGTAGTTGTTTGTTTTACATTATGAAAACTTACAATAACTTGTTGTGTCAGCAACAGTGCATCCTTCCTTGCTGGTGAACCCACCCCCCAAAACAAACAAACAAAAAACAAAGAGAAAGTATGGATACACACGCTGTGCAAAGCACCATGCTCCAAGCTTGGTTTCCTTGCCATGTGAGTCTCGGCTCCTGTGTTCTATTCCAGGATCTTCTGCTGACTTGTCTGACTTCGACCCAGACAGTTTACTGCTCTGTGCCTCAATGTTACCATCAGTAAAATGGAAATAATAATCCAGATCTTCCCTCTGATGTTAATGAATGTTTGTAAAGTGCTGAGAGAGCTCTGGATGACTGGCTCCTCTAGAAATGCAGGTGCTACACTGTGAAATATACTAACTGACCTCTTGTTTATTCAGGTTGTCTGGGACAGTCTTGGAAACAAACAATTCTGCTCATACAAAATAAAGTGAGTATTTCAGGATCCAGTTCTGCATCTTGCTCTTCAGATTCCGATTTGAGACCCAGGTTGCTACTGGGAGGATGACTTCCTGGCTGCCGGGGTCATGTGCTATCTGTTTCAAATAGGGTGTCCCTTAGCGCTTTAATTTGACTGCTTCAGGAATTCTGCACATTCTTAAGGCTGGGGTGGAACCAACAATTTGGAATTAAAAGGTTAGGAAATCCAGGGTATATCTACACTGGAATAAAAGACCCACAGTATGGCCGTGGCTGGTTCAGATCAACTAACAGGCTGCAGGGCTAAAAATTGCTGTGTAGATGTTTTGGTTCATGCTGGAGCCTGGACTCTGGGACCCTTCCCGCTTGTGGGGTCCCAAAGCTTGGGCTCCAGCCTGACCCCAAACATCTACAGAGCAAATTTATAGCCCTGTGAGCCCACATCAGCTGACATGGGCCAGCCATGGGTGTTTTACTGCAATGTAGACATATCCTGAGTGTCTCTGTGACTCAGTTCCCCCATCTATAAAATGGAGATAATAATCCTTCTCTACCTGACAGTAGCAGTTGTGAAGCTTAATGCATGAGTACTTGTACGGTGTGAGATTCTCGGATGGAATGCTCAGTGTTACTGTTAGCAGCTCATATAAAGTCCCTTCTTTCCAGGACAAAGACACACAACTTTTGCCGCAATGAGTATAACCTGACAGGTCTGTGCAACCGATCATCCTGTCCCCTGGCAAACAGCCAGTATGCGACCATCAAAGAGGAGAAAGGTGAGACTTCTGCAGTGCCCCAGCAAGGGCCTCGCAACCTTGCACAGCCCTTCCCCTTCTCTCTCTCACTGGAATCATGGGCAGCTATTGCTCTCTTTCCTCTGGCTGACAGGGTCCCTTTAAGGCTTCTTTGTGTCTCAAATGCACATTGGTAAAATATCCAGCCAGACATCTGCCCTGCATTAAGGCTGGTGTGTGTATCTCTCTCTCTCTCTCTCTCTCTCCAGTGGGTTGAATTGCCCAGCTTTGTGCTGTCAGGAATTTTCTTTGTGTTCTTCTTTTCTTTTCACCTCCCCGCTAAGCTAACTGTAGGCCAGAGGGAATGGCTCAGGGTTCTCAGCCTCAGGTTTGAAGCCCCTAGACTCTCTGGGTATGTCTACACTGCAGTGTAAGCCCTGGGTTAGTAGAACTCAAGTTAGCAGAGGGGTTGAGCATCTACCCTCATTTGTAATCCCAGGTTACGAATTGTTGAAACCTGAGTCCCAACCTGCGGTTCCTGCATCTACACTGCATTATGCAGGCTCAAGTCCAACTGCCCATATCCCAGACTTCCTTGTGCCCTCCCAAAATGAGGCCACTCTAGCCCTTTGTTCGTGGTGCAGGGTTGGAAAACTTGACTGTCCACCAAACTGGACTGTGCAGAGGACAAAGAAAGTCAGCCCATCGGATTATGTGATATTCCCAGAGCACAAGTCCGGTGGGGCTGCATCCAGACTGCAAAGCATTAGGGCTTGAACCCTGCATGTTGGCTTGACTAAGGCTCGGACCCGCCACCCCCAGGAAACCCTAAGTTAGCGTGGTTTGTGTGTAGACAGAAGGAGGGTTAGGTTTGAGCCTGAGTTCGACCCTGGGTTTACGCTGCAATGTAGACATACCCTCTGGAGCCACAGGGTGGGCTCAGCCCTTTGCCCCACTGTGCAGTTCAGTTGTATGAGACCTCTGCCCTGTGTGGGTGTGAAAGCTGCCTGTCCCTGTGGACTTTCCTCTAAGAGTGAGTCAGCCTTGAGGTCTGTGGCCTCCTGCTCCCCGTCGCCTGCACAGCTGTTGTGCAGCAGATTGCTGTTGCCCTCCACCTCGAAGGTGGCTGCATCTCCATAGGGCTGTCCGTGATGCTCTTTGTGGGGAAGGATGCTCTGTGTCTGTCAGTGGTAGCCTGGCTGAGACTTAGTACAACAGATTGGAGATCTGGACAAGTGTCCCAGTGCTGGAGTTTTTTGCAGTGACTGGGACGAGCTAAGCCTGTCTCTTGGGTGCCTAGTGGCGGTTTGGGTGAGTTCATGTTATTCCTCTTTCCCTTAGGTCAGTGTTATCTGTACATGAAGACAATAGAGCGGGCGGCTTTCCCCAATCGACTCTGGGAGCGGGTGAGTTAAATCCCGTACCGAACCTGAAACTTAATCCAGCAAGTTGACAGATGACACTGTTGTTTTTTAAAAAAAATGTTCCACTATTTACAACCTATCCAAAGTGTTCCTGTTTTAAACCCACCTAAATCAACCCTGATGTTTTTGTCCCTAGGTGTGGGTGGTATAACGAGCAGGTTCTGACGTGGGGAAACAGCTCAGGACTGGCAATGGGATACAGACACTTCCACCTTGAGATTGTTCTAGTCCACATTATTTTAATTTGTCTTCAACATATGTATAAAAATAAAAGCACCAGCTGTTCTGGAGAGAACATATCCTCTATTGCTGAGCATGAATGCAGTATACTGGACCTGCAGAACCCTTGTGTCACTGCAGTTTATGGCACTTAACCTCCTAATGAAATGTCTTACACCAAGAAAATATCCAACGGCAGCGTAGTCCCTGCTTTTCACAGACTATTAGCTCTGTCATTTTACACTGACTGTTTCTTTAGAAAGCCAGGGAATGCTATGTTAGAGCTCAAGGCTGGGTCTTGGGAGATTTGAGTTCAATTCTCAGTTCTGCCACAGACACTCTGTGAATCTCTCTGTGCCTCAGCTGTATAACTGGGATAGGACTTGGGGAGAGGTGAAGATACCATGGAGATGGAGGCTGTATAAGACACTAGGTAGAACACAGAATGGATGAATCACTGACTAAATTGCTAGGCTTTCATTTGTAATCTAACCTATGATCAATAGAATCCGAAATCAGGAACATTTTACAAGTGTTCCTTTGAAGTAATGGCCAAGGGATTTTTTTCTTTGAATGTGTCTGGTCTGGTTGGCTCTGGGGATTGTTAATACATAGACTTGAACCTCTTTTTTTCAAATCTGATCTGAGTTGGTCTGATCCTCAGTTCTCATCTGACTGACAGCTGTTCATTGGCCTATCTGTAAAATGAGATGCTGGGACATAATTCCATTCGCAAGTGTCCACGTCACAAAAGCCATCACCACAGCTGGATCCTTTGTATGTAGCATCAGCAGAGAGACCAAGGATTAGATAGATGGGCTACAGACTGAATTCCTTTTGTGTTAGAACACACCCATAATAAGAGACTGTCCCTGCCTCAAAGAGCTTACAGTCTAAATAGGCAAGGCAGACAAAAGGGTAGGAAGGGAATTTGCCCATTTTATAGAAGAGGAAATAAGAGCCAGAGAGATTAAATGACTTCCCAAGGTCACACAGGGAGTCTGTGGCAGAGCTGGGATTAGAAGCCAGATCTTCTGAGTCCCAGTCCAGTGTCTTAACTGCAAGAACATCCTTCCTCTTGACAGCTGGGTTTTAGAAAAAAAAACCGAGCAGAAGTGGTGTAGCACCACAACCACCTTAAACTCCACTCCCCTTTGTGAGAATGTCCCAAAATTGTTTCTGCTCCAAAGCTTTTCATCCTCCTTCTCGCCATCAGGTCCGACTGAGCAAGAACTATGAGAAAGCTTTGGAGGAGATAGATGAGAACCTCATCTACTGGCCACGCTTCATCCGGCACAAATGCAAGCAGCGCTTCACCAAGATCACACAGTATCTGATCCGCATTCGGAAGCTGACACTCAAGCGACAGTAAGTGATAGCGGTTCACTTCCTTCTTCCTTCCTTCTGCTCCATACCATCAGCCTGTCTGTCTCTCTTAGGGCTGGTCTATAGTTTAAAATAAATAAATAAATCCTTGTGCCCATCTAACTGAATCAGTTTGAAATTGATTTTGTTACAACCCTAATGTAGACGCACTTAAACTGATTAAAACTGCACTTTTACAAGTTTAGCCTAAGTTTCCTTTGAGAGGCCAGTTTGTGCCAGGTGGGGAGCAGGGAGCATCCTGTATCGGAGGCTGGGGAGGGATTCGAATAAACATTCACTCGCTTGATGAGCATCAGTGGCCGGTAGACTGAAATCTTCACTAATCTCTTCCCCTATCACAGGAGGAAGATTGTTCCTTTAAGCAAAAAGGTTGAAAGGCGAGAGAAAAGGAGAGAGGTAACATGACTCTTGTGCAGTCCTGATTCCACTGCTCCTTGTTTTTTTTTTTTGCATCTTGGAAATGAATTGATGCCAACTCCTCTTTCCCCTGGTACTAGGAAAAAGCCCTGATTGCTGCTCAGCTGGACAATGCCATTGAGAAGGAGTTACTGGAGAGACTAAAGCAGGAAACGGTAAGGGTTACCACCTCCCGTCTCTTAGCACAAAAGTGTATTCCTCTGCTAAGGTAGGGGGTGTTTACCAAGCTCATTCGAACAGCGAAGCATGAGGCAGAATAGAATCCAGCCTGCTCTCCCATTGCTGTGTTGGTGCCATGTTTGCTAACAGGAGTTCACACTTGCTTGTGATCATTAGCTCGGCTGAGATGGGGGAGGCTAAGAGGGGGTGGTTCTTACAGAGCCACTCTTTTGACTTTGGGGAATGCTGTTGCGAAGATGAGCTCTCTAATATTATGAGGACAGAATTATTGGTCACTGGCTCTGTACTTGTTCATAGCTGTATTTGGCTCTGAGCCTCAGTCCTGAAGTGCTGTATAATGTGACTGGCATAAAATGCATAATAAACCAGTGAATAACCTGAGTAGTCTTGCCCACCTGCTAGAATCAAACCCTTTACTTCCTCAGCTTCTCCATCTGGGAAAGGCCTCTGGCCACCTGCAGAAGAGTGAAGGGCTCTCTTGGCCAAGGTAGCAGTGCAGCATTTAGAGAGGGCTGATGGGGAGAGCTGAATTTAAAAAAAAAAAGACACGGGGGGGGAGATCACTGAAATTTGTCCTTTTTTATCATCATGAAATATTCTCTGTGTGCCCAAGGGGCAAGGCAGCTCGGTAGCTTTGCGTAGCAAATCCAGCAAGCCCTACCTATGCGCTGAGATTTACCCCCACCTGCCAAACCAGAATCAGGGTATGTTGTGCATAGGGTCTGGATTTCACATAGCTGGGTCACTTGGCACCTGTTGCACTTCATGTTTGGAGGGAGCACATAAGCTTTGGCTGCAGTGTATCACTGAAGTCCTTTCAATGACTTGATGATCAACAGATCTGTGCAGGCTTAGATAAGGGGGTGAGTTTGCAGGAGCTGACTCTCATGCTTCAGGGCATTAGGTGACCAATGCAGAGGTCAAGAAAGTAAGTTGTATCCCTCCCTTCCTGGTGCACACTGCTAGTCAGGACAGATTCCTTAAGGGCCAGAATAAAATGTGGGATGAATGGATTCTGTGGCCCGTTAGTCTAATCTAGTTTGGTATAACCCAGGGGTGGGCAACCTTTCAGAAGTGGTGTGCCGAGTCTTCATTTATTCACTTTAATTTAAGGTTTTGCGTGTCGGTAATACATGTTAACGTTTTTAGAAGGTC